GTCACCTCTGCTGCTCCAAAACACTGTTTTGGCTGCTCCAAAAGCCACTTTTGCTGCTCCAAAACACTGTCTTGGCTGCTGCAAAGGCCACTTTTGCTGCTCCAAAACACTGTTTTGGCTGCTCCGAAAGGTGCTCCAAAACGGGTTAGGCCAATCGCATCACCGCAGTTGTGAAACCTTCAAGGTAATAGTGAAAAAAAGATATTATATAAGGCCTGTTTACACATACAACCACAGCTCTACATTAGGGCTATTAGTCAAGACCTGGGAATACAGTGTAGACCGCATATAACGTAAAACGCGGGAGTCGCGAAAATCTGCACTATAAGCGGTACCGCGTTATAACGAAAACATCAATTTTTCAGGCCAAAATACATGCCATGAGACAACTTACCTTAAAAAAAAAAAAATTTATTTTATGTTAGTCGAAGAGGAGTCTTTATTTCACCAGACTAGTACACTTCTCTTTTAAGTGTGTCAATTTTGAAAGAAATGAGCGACTTTTGCCTGGCGCAGCCTTTTAACAGCGTCGCTGGTTGCGGACGGACGTTGCAAGCGTTAGGATTGCTAACCCTAATCACTTTTTTCCGGTGATGAAGACGCGTGAAAATTCGCATCCTTTATACGGTACGCGCCAGTAATACCTTCAACTTTAGCACAGGCGTGAAATGCTCCAGATAAGAAATCCGGGCGATGTTCAAAAACACAAATGCTTAGAAAGCACCACTGTAGTCGAAGTAAACAAACACAACGACACGGGCGTTTCTGCAGTCTTGAGAGTGCCGCCACGACATCGCCGCACGAGTAGGTGGATCTCCCCTTCTAGTACGTGCTGGGTTATCATAGCGGCACACAACGAAAATTCACAGTCAAGGATAGTGCTTTTGCGTGGAACGATCGCAACCGACGCCATGTTTGCGGATAGAAGCCGGCCCGCGACTGACATGCAACGCGCTCTAACAGTTCTCCCCAACCTGCAATTGGTCTGTCGTTGCGGTTGTTTCCAACGCACGCACGTGAACGACACGTGCGTGCGTCCCTTCGTCGGTATGGCAACTGAAGCCTCTCTCTTCGCTTCTTGGAGCCACGACTTCGAGCAACCTCTTTGCCCCGCGAGTGCCGCTTGCGGCTAGCCAGGCTAGCGCCATTATCTAGTGTCGCACAGGGAAGCGTGCTGGCTGCGCAGGGCAATCGGCGCGCTGTTCCAGAAACCGCACTCTAACCAGTATTTCCCTTCGCGCCTGCGTTTTAAGTGGTATGTAATTACATGGAGTTCTATGGGAGGCGAACCGGTGGTTTAAAAAAGTCGCGTTATACCCGGTCCTGAACTATAAGTGGTTACGTTATAAGTAGTCTATACTGTAATGCTGATCTTGTTTATGCAGTCTTACATTTGTCCTACACCAGTGATACAGTGGTGAATTAGTGCTAAATTAGGTTCATCAGCTCTGTGCTGTACATGTGTACCAGCCTCTAAAAAAAATTTTTTTTGTTCACGTTAAATTTGTTTTTTACCTGCGTGTCCCTCCTACATTTTCTTTTTTGAAGGTCCCTTTTAAGTTAAAGGGACACTGACAGCCCCCAAAATTTTTTTTTATTTTTTGCCAGGCGCTTCATTATGGTGTCGGAGGACTACACAATTAATATTTTGCAACAGAGTAGCGTATTTGTTTAATATAGCCAAAAGACGCAACTGCTCGAAATCGAAACCGAAACCCGACGGAGGTCGGAGAAGTGGAGAGAAGAGAGTGAGTGGCGGAAGTCACGTGGCTACACCCGACCGTGCGTTTTTGTTTTTGTTTTCTCCTCTCCATAGCAGACGACACGACATGCGGTGTGCTATGCGGCGTGCGGGAACTGCTCGCCGTGTGATTCTTTTGCAGTTATGTTTGTTCCGCTCGTTATTTTGTACTCCAAGATGAGTTGTTTTGTACATTGAGGAGTTGGAGGATGAGTAGTAGGTGCCCGTGGTGAATTTCCATGATCGGCTCCGAAAAGAATACACCCAAGATGTTGCGTGAAGAGCTGGCTCACATGTCCTGCATCCGAAAAAAAGTGGCATTGTGCGACAGAGTTTCCGAAAGATCAACGGGATCGGGACCAATGGCTGGCTGCAATTCCTGTAGAACATATACGGGCACCTCGGAAAGCGGACGCTACCTGATTTATATGCTCCTCGTATTTTGTGGAAAGTGATTACATTGAGTTCGCAGGTGTCAAAACGGAAATCCCATACCATTTAATTCAGCGAAGTATCGTCCACAACTTTTGTTTGTTTCTTCAGTGATGATTGTAAAAAAAAAAGAAAAAGATATGTAAACATCGGAAAATGTTAAAAAAAAAAAATAGAGCTACACGAGGGATCGATCCCAGACCTAACGCGTGTGAACCGGACGTCTTTCCCACTGAGCTACTGGCACATCTCACTTCTGGTGGATCTCTTTTCTTAGTAATAATTCAGCCGGTAAACTGTAAGTTGGAAAGTTTGCTGTCGATTTTTCTCTAGCAAAAGCACTCCCGGGTCGAAGTCGGGAAGCACCACGCTTTGGGGACATTCGCACGTAGTAAAGAAATCGTACGCGTGCATATTCAACTCGAAGTAGACACGTCGTGCTTGACGTTTGCGCGAGCGATGTCTTCAGCCACGAGAAGGGAGCGACGGCTCGGCGACGTCTTCGTGCAAATCTGCTTGGTGGCCGGGCGTGTCGTACGGGATGAATACCAATTCTTTTGATCAGTCCCAAATTTCTCTTTTAACGGTAGACAGAATTCGCCGGTACCGCAAACGACAGTTCTGAAATAGAGGTCCCATGCCCGTCGTCCGCTGCCATCGCCGTCCCCGCGAGTCCCACGATACACGAAACGACGAACGCACAGAATGCTTCCGGTTGTCTGTGGAACTTTTTTTATCAATCAACGTATTTACAGCTTTTTAGAAGCCACAAAAAATGGGTTTCATATTTTTTTTCTATTTTTAATATTGAGTGTGTGCCTTCAGTGACCCACGACTTTGATTAAATTTGGTGGTCGCATCGATACCTTAGAAAACGGCCCGTGACCGCGGAAAGGAGAGTGAGCGAGACTCGAACCGGCCAGTTCTTGATCGGCGGTTTTCGGGCGGAAAGAAACCGAATTTTGAGCCGCAAATTCTGTTCTGGGTAGTTGAGCTCTCATATGTCACGTACAACTAAAAACCTTGGCGAGCATAAATACCCTGTCAGTGTCCCTTTAAAAAATAAAAAAAGTGTGCGAGGAAAGGCGGTCACTCTTTGCAGAGAAGCACTGGTATATGCGTGGTAAGACGCGATTACACGACTGGGGCTTCTACTTTTTTGTGGCTTGTACGTTTTGAGTTTCCTTTGCCCAAAGAATGTTTTCCACTCTTTTCGTGCCAGACAAGAGCACACTTTCCCAAGGCAATTGATGCCCCTACATTCTTTATTTTTTGTAGGGACAGCAGGTTTGGTGACGCAGAACACTCTAAACCAATCTCTGATAAGACTCAGGTCTTAGTGTAAAGAAATACTTTCTCCCAAATTGGCACTCCTTTTCTGAGAGAGTAATTTTTTTCCTGCCAAACATTCCATAATGCACTTTGTAGAATTACTCACTTATTCCCTTCGCTCTGCGATAACTCACGCTTGAGAGCCCCCTCGATAAAAATATAGATCCGGACCCACGGATATCCGCGCCTGTAGCCCATGACATCTGCATCCAATTCACAATCCGCCAAATCTAATTTATTTTTATCCGCACCTGCCAGTTCACTGGGCATAACCGTGGGTAGTTCTTGGGCATTTGGTGCATCCGCAGTGCTTTACTCATGAAACTTCAGTACCCCCCCCTCCCCCTTGGAAGTTTAGACCGTATGCAGTGGAACATTCATTATACAACATTTATGGGAACGCGCGAAAGTGTCAAATAATGAACCCGGAGTCGTATTACCCAAAACAACAATAATTACAGCACTTTGACAAACCTGCGCTAAATTATAGTAAAATGCAGGACGTTGAATAAACTGGAAATGCATAATCAAGGTTCCACTCGATATGCAGTTTTATGGGCAATTTTATTTTGCCTATTACTGGTGCGATGACTTACACCAGAACATGCACCCATACTGTAAGTGGAAAGTAGCGTATTATTACACAGCGTACTGTGCTAATTAATATTGGGAGGGGTGAGTGGGGACGTAAATTATTTTTGGCTGTGCTACTGTACCTCTTTACAAGATCTAGTGTGCCTTGTGTGGACTTTCAGAAAATGGGTCTATTGATGCAGCAATGCAATTGGAACCGTTCAATATTTTTTGGTGTTATAGGGACTGGATCTGTTTATGTTATGCCTCTGTGGTTGCAGCCTGTAGAAGGGGGTGGATGCAAGCTGAGTGATATAGCCCTCAATATGATAGAGATTCAAGTTTTAGGGCTGTAGGCTGTGGAATAAGCATTGCCAAAAAACCTCAAACGAGGAAAATGACTTTAGCGTTGACAAGGAGGCTGTCATGTTACTAACATGCTGCGCAATGATACGTAAGGTGGAGCAAGCTGCATGGCTCGGACAACCTGAAATTGTGCAATGTCTCTTAAGAGTGAGCTCCTGTGATTAATTTCAACCAGACGAGACATATATATGTACCTAGCAGAGCTTGCATTCAAATTTGCCACTTGACAGAGGCACGTGATTGTTTATGTCGTTTGCACGGAAATTGACTGAATATCATATTCAATCTTGGTTCGTACATAACATGCTTAACTGCATGAAGCAAGTGATAGATGTAAGGGACATACTTTAAACCTACTTTAGGTGGACAACATCTCTGTACAGCATCTGCTCTCTTCCCCATATTACAACTAATGCACAGAGTATATAGAATGTGCACTAAAGCACAGGTTACATTGATATTCTTGACAGGCATTAGATACCCAGAGGTTTGATTTTTTTGTTTGGTGTTCTGCGTGCAGGCAATTAATTGTGTGTTTTTTTGTTTTTTTTTCTAGAAGCCGTGGTCGCAAGGCACCCATGACATTGAAGTCTTCCAAACAAGGCACTATGAAGGCATGACTTGTAGCGGCACTGGAGCAAGCGACACGGTCCGGGTGAGCCGCAAGTGTAACTGTTACACTGTAAACAGGAAATATAGACATGTGTCCGACAAAGCACAGACTCATAAAACTTTCATGTAGCAATAATAGTTTAATTTAACTAAACAGTGCATCAACAGAGCCTGACCCAAGAATGGGGAATTGGGGAACCGGCCAATGTGTAGAGTCTAACAGAAACAAGGAAGGCGATAAAAACAAATGGGGAAACATATTAAGATAGGACAATAATGTCGTGCCTATTTTTTGTTTTCAATTAAGATTTTATAGGAGCTAGCAAAATATGTCCTTGCAATGGAATAGACCTACTTTTACAAAAAGACCTTCAATGTTTTTGTTAAAATAAATTGCGTCTGAGGAGGTGGAAATATGATTTTCCCAATTGCGCATTAACATATCTTTGAGCTCCACAGGGTAATAAAACTTCCCGAAACGTAAATATTTTTATGCATGCTCAGAAGTTTTTTTAAATATAGAAAAAGTCAAACAATTTTTTTTGTGAGAATTCAAAGATATTGTCATCCTCAATTTTTTTTTTTCATTTTCGTTATTGAACACTTAGAAACATGTAATTCAGAATCCACCACCAAGACCTGTTGTATTCTATTGTCTTAAAATAAAGAAATAACGGTTTTGCCGAGTCTGTTGCAGTCAATTTCTGTTGGAGGTGCTGTGTCTCAACAACTAGTGGTTACTCGAGCACCGTATCCACAGTGGCCATAGTTGGTCGCATTATCTCCCAGGCACCACAAAGCATCATACAAAAAAATGTTTTTTTATTTATATTTTTTTTTATCCGTGATGTGTCTGGTAGTGCATATGGAAACTGAACTTTGTGGTGCATCAGTCCTCGGGGTGCTGTGCTTGGTTGATTGCTCTCAACTGTGCTAATTTCTCGAAGTAGTATTTTAGTGCATGTAGGGAGTTGACAAAATGATTCAAATAATTTATCTAAAAGTCACTATACTCCGTTTGTAAGTGCAATGGATTGTAGCGGCCGTTGCCAGCTGTCTCGGGCAACTTAGCGCATCAAGTGACAACGCATCACAGCGCCTCTCTCCGAGGTCACTACATTGAGTTGACTTCTGTGGCCTGTAGCATGGTCTGTGTTGTATTGTAAGGTATAACGAACATATGAACAGGAAACATTATGAATTTTATGCCCCAATTGATGGCGGGCATGGCGAGGGTAAAACAATAGCAGGCTGTGTCTAAAAAGAAAATGATAAATGGACGAAGAAGCAGAAAGCTAGGCAGTGTCATTGGAGCAACATCATGCCTTCGCGCAAGTGGTGACTCTGGTATTTGTAATACCGTTGCACACTGGCTGATGTTTACACCACACAACTGAAGGCTGAACTCTCTTAACACCATGGTATTGGGTCATTTCAGATGAAACTGAGTAGTAGGTAAATGGTTGACATTTTTTTATTTGCTTGATATTTTATATGTCATTCCCTAAATTATAGTTTACACCAGTTCATATTTACAAACTGTAGCGCCACTGGCGCCGCGCATGCGCGATGGAGTGTGGGCGAGAAGCTCGCCGTCGCCCATAAACAAACCATTGGAATGCGATGTTGTCGTTGTCGGTGTGAGTCCCCCTGCCCTTTTTGGCGTTCGAATTGGTGATTCTACGTCGTTTTTGCGATGCCTGACTACTTGAGCGGCCTCAGGGAGATTACCGAGGCTCGTTACACCGCAAAACTTCGCGTGAATAATGTGGCATGCGGCGATTCATTCCGCGTGGACGCCGCAGAATGTATGCTAAAGCCTGATTCGCATGATGAGATTTCGCTCGCAATTTTCAGTCGCGAAGTCACTCGGGCTGCAACAGCGTGAACCGTAGCTGAGATGGTCGACGCCGATACTGAAAATCGCAAGCAGAATCGGACCAAGTGAATTAGGCATAACAAGTTGGTGATGGCCACTGGTAACAATGATGAACATCTTTTTGTATCTACTGTTTACATGAAGCCTGCTTACCAAGTTTCAAATTTAAGTCTTTTGAGGGCTGCACTTACTTCTTATCGCAAGTACGGCATCAACATTTGATGTTCGGGCCGGTGTCTTCTAAAAGAGCAGACAAGCAGAATTGTCTGAGACAGCAGACGATAGTTCGAATGATCAGGCGGCCGTTTGAACTTGAAGACGCACTGAACATAGTCATTATACAATGGTCGGTACAACATGACGGTTTTTTGGCATTCATGTGGGAACAAAAGAATAAATTGATGACCACCAGTATTCGTGAATTCAACCCGAAGTGCTTCCCGCCCAAGCAGATGTGGTCCGACGGCATCTGGTTTTCCCTTTTCACGGCACATATCCACGTTCTCGGACGAACCGAGCACATGAAAACTAACCTTCAAACCTTTCTAGACTCTTTTAGTACAGCCCCAGTCGTGATGTTTTGACGAGAAAGCGGGTTTTTGTCAGGTTCCTTTCAAAACAACGCAGGAATACACGTCTCGCACGGGGACTTCCGCCCACAGCCCCAGACCGGAATTGTGCCCGAAGCGCCACCACCGCACTGTGACGTAACAGAGATGAGTTTGTGTATGAAGGAATACAAAAAACACTTTTGGATAAAAAACTAAATTTCTAGACACAAAAAGGTGTAGATTATGAAAAGCTAGGTTGTCACTTGCATTCACGAGCATGACTGATGTGATCAAGTTTGATGTGAATACCTTAAGTAATAGTTTTAGGCAATTATAGGCTAGAGTACCCAAAAGCCTTGCGGAAGCAAAAATAGCGTCGTCACCAGTGCGCATGTGCCAAGCCTAGACCTTGTCTGGATTGGCGCATTACGACGATGCCATTTCTTTGAAACGCACAAATTTGGACAGATTCTAAAACTTGCAATTAGAAGTTCATTAATTTTGAGAAACAATGTCTGGGTTAGGCAAAAGAGGCCTTGAGAACATACGTTCATCATTCATGCTCCTTTTTTTTTTTTCATACTTTATATTGAATACAAAATATTTGCATATAACGAGCAGATTTAAAAATCCTCTTGACTAGAATATCTGCAACAAATTTCTTGTTCAGATGCCGCAGTTTATAAATATGAGTTACGTATTAAAATAAGGACTTAGGAGAGTACAAGTGAAATCTCGGCAGCAACCTGCAGGGTTTCTATTTAAGGCGAGACGCGGGTCTTAAAATGGTAAAAAATCGCGAAATTTGGGGTTTTTCAAAAATCACATGTTTGGATAGAATATAGTCTGAAGTACCTGCCTGCGAAGTTTCAATGTCCTATTCGACGTCTAAGTATAAAAAAAACCATAAATACGATGCCTCCGCGACGCTCAAATCGCGAATCCAACGCAAAAAAATAGTCAAACTGCGCGCCCGCGTCGCTTCACGACCGATCGTCGGATCGCGGCCATCTTGGTCTTGTTGGGGAGCTGGTTCTCTTCCCTACGTCCTCATCCCACTCACTATCGCGACAACCTTGGAGAGCGTCCGCATTCCGCGGGTTTTCATGACCGGAATAACGATTGCTCATTGGCCCGCGCGCGTACGTCACAGGTACGTCGTGCCGCGCGCGCCTGTCATAGGCCAAGACGCGCCCCTTTCCACTTTTGCTCCTTTCCTCCTCTTGGCGCGCGCGCCTCCAGCAGCGCAAGGAGAGCGTGGAGAAGCGTCGTCTGCTTCGTTTTGGCCCTTCGCTTTGTTCGTTCCGCGGCTGAGTGCACGTTGTTTCGAAATCGTTTACGTTCGCGCGTTCGCGTCGGACATCGTTGGTTTCTCGCTACGAAGTTGCGGGAGTTTTATTTCGAGCGATCGAGATGCCGGGGGACTCTCGATTGAAGGAGAGTACGCGGCGGACGTTCGGGAGGAAGACGCGACGTGCGTGGAACAAGCGGAAGACATCCCCTGCAAGTGCGCCGCTACGATCTGCGCCACTGCTGAACGCATTGGATCTGCCGGGACCATCGGCTAGCCTTCCCGTTGACGATGCTGCGGCCTCAAGCTCTGGTCCGGATGGCTCAAGTTTTGCCGGCACCACTCGCGTCGACTCTACCTACTACTCTACGGCCGAGCAAGCGCAGCGCGCCGAGCGATCGGAGCAAAGCAAGCGCGTTTTATCGGAGAAGTCGGCGACTATATCAGTAATTCTTCACCATTTTTGGAATCTTCTCAAAAACAAATTATTGCAATTTTTAAAATTATTTGTTCAGAATGCACTACACTATATCTTGATAACTATTATTGCATAAGGGTTTTCACATAATTTATTGTAGTCAGCGTCGAAACAGGAAAATGTGATTTTATCAACATTTCACTCGTTCTTTACTTCTTTCATATTTTTTTCCGAATGTTCCCATAAATGGATTACATCATCTTTTATGTCAAGTTGTTCATAAAGACTTACACTACACCTTGGTGGCAATTATTATTTATCATTGTTCACACAATTTTCTATGTTCAATGTCAAAACTTTAACTTTGATTTTCTCATCTTCATGTTTTTTGTCAACGTGCTTAGCCTTACGGGGGTTTTCATGAGGTTTTTATCGTAGCATTTCGAAACTTTTTATACCGTTTTATTCAGAAAGGACTGGACTGTGGAGTAAAGCTATTTTTTTGCAGTTTATAATGACAACGAAAATTTTATGATAAATAATGCGACCTCATTAGTGTCATAATTAGCATAATTAGTACATTTTTGTATTATAATGTAATTTTGTGAAAATATAAATAGCTTTATAATGCATGGCAGACCTTTAGCTATGCATCTACATCAATAAAAAAAAATTTTTTTGTTCGAAATGGCCTTAACGACCCGTAAGAAATTAACCAAATTAGGCAACACTATTTTTTATAACTTGAAAACTAATTGAGATATTTTGAAACTGATTTCATATTTGAATTGAGGAAGAAGGAACACATATGCACAGTGATTTTCATTAGTATAGCTGCAAAAATAAAATAGTCCATTTTAGAACCAGTGTCTCGCCTTAAGTATCGTACAGTAGTGGAAGGCTTGTAAAAACTATAACAATATTAAATTCAAAACTATTCAACAGAAAAAAATATTCACTTTAAATTCGTTTTGAACTCAAAATCCACTATACGTCAAACTCGTTTACATCAAACTCGCAAGAAAACGTCTGCCAGTTCGATATAGCGGGTTATTCAATTAGAAGTATTAATGAATTTGACTCTCAAAAATCCACTTTCTGCTGAAATATTACACAATGAAATAGTCTTGCATCTTCTGCTGCTTTTTCTTCATTGCATCCGCAATAACAATATTTTTCTACGCTATCGATGGACTCCGAAATTGAGGCCGCTGCCTTCTATATTCGCACATTAGGGCCGAACTATGCCGAGAGCACGGAGCACGTCCGAGCAGTAGCACCTGCAGAGCTTCCGTTTTGCTTTGCAAGTTGGCTTTCCCCTAAGGCAGGCAGCTGCGTTGGGGGAAAGCCAGCTAGCAGAGCAAGCTGGCTTTTTTTTCTCCGGGCGGCCGCCTCAACCTTCTCGGAAGAAAAGGCAGTATTCTCTTTTGTGGACGGAGTGGGAAGAGGAACCATGGAGCGCCCTCCCCCTGCTCCCTGCGCAAAAGAGATTTTTTTTTTTTTGTTCCGGGCGGTCGACCAACACCTCCCAGAAGAGAAGGCCGTAGCACTCCTCTCGTGACGTCGCAAATGAAGGCCATCGGGGGCGCACGTCGAAGCGAAGGCAACGCGCGTGGGTCGATTGTTGTAACGCGGTTTTAGTCACATAAGCGTGATTTGTTAGCTAAAATGAAAGCTGCCCATAACAATGGGTCTAGAAAACATTGTATTTCACGGGCAAAGCATTACATCGCTAAATAATCGGTACAAAATGGCACGAAGTATGCGTATAAGACGCCTATACAAAGTGATTGTTTTAAGTTGAAAACATTGAGTCACGCAATTGTTGTAGGAATGCATAATTTATACAGAAACGCTTCAACAAAATTGTGAGACACGCAGTGAGTGGACACAGCAAAACAGATCAGTTAAAGATCAGGTGGACGTAGTCAACGTGGACACAGCTAGAGAAGGGTCACTTACAATCATGTAAACAAAATATAACTTCTTTTGTATACAATAATACTATTGCCGTAATACAGTTAAGGTTCTGGTATAAATGCGGTAAAGGCAATCAAATGACATTAGTATCAGCAAACACGAAACCACAAAAAATGCATTTTGTATGATCGCACAAACTTGTCATTCACCTTCCAGTGAAAACTAGAATGTTACAACGCATATTTACAAATGTCGACGCCACTGTACACGGATAGCGACAAAGAACAAAATTCCACTCTATCACAAAATTTTAAAAGAAAGACTGCAGCACTTACTTGCGTCCCACATGACCAAGAAAGCCCGTAAATAAGTTGTTTCTCACCTGTCGATCGTATCCATATGTCCCACAATATCTGGCACGAAAACATTTGAAGACAAGCTCCAAGAAGTCCCTCTTAGTCGAGGTCTCGAGAGGTCTATCGATAATCAACCAGTGTCGTTGTTGGCTAGTTTCCACACACGTCACTCAAACAGTAGCAGGACTTGTTCCGCGAATCCACGTAAATGCCGTAGTATCAAGCGAACACAAAAACTACCCGAGACTGCGGTGACGACAGAAAAACGTCGGGAACAAGGATCAAAAGAACCTCACACGAGAGCAGCGGAGCAGTGTGGGAGGCTTAACGTTGTCGGCCCATCTCTTGCTCGTGTGCGCTCCCCGCGGCGATGACTTGATTTTTTTCCATTCTCTTCCCTTCTGAAAGTCCCAGCGTTCCTTTTCAGACAGTCTGCAGCTTGCACACAACATACATTTACCAGAATCGGAGCCGTTGGAGGGAAGATGAAAATGTCTCACCGAACTGGTTCATTCGAAAGTTGTGGGGAGCTGCGGGACTGCACATAGTCCCGCGGTTATAGGGGTAATCATGAATATAAAATTGGTACTTTCAACCTTGGTAGCACATTGTATATTACATTTATATTATATATATATAATAAATTGTACAAGACAGCACTTTTAAGACATATTAATGTCGGATAAACGCGCACAAACCCCACCGTGCCGCTTGACAAGAAAAATGTTTTTCACGACGATGTGATATTTTTTTTTTATGTAGTTGCACCATGGCCTTCCTTCTCCGACATTGTGATGTAACCACTCGGAGCGCTACGGCCTTCTTTCTTAGAGGTGTTAAGTCAATGCGTCCGCCCAGAAAAAAGAAGCCAGCGTGCTCTTCAAGCTGGCTTTCCCCCAATGCAGCCGCAAACATTGGGGGAAAGCAAGCTTGCAGAGCAAAACGGCACTCTTGGCAGTTCGATGTATCGGTAGTGGCTGCTATTTTTGTTCAATGTAACCGTAATTGTTGATATATATTATCGCTGTAACATTACTGTGCACAAAAGCTTTTCAATATAAGAAATAATTCCAAGTAAACGGGTTCAATATAGTCGGGTTTGACTGTACACACATACCTACAAAACATAGTTCCTGAATAATGTGCAAACATTTCTCTTGATGTGACAACGGGTTTAGGTCAACTAGGGTCAGGACAAAGCAGCTTCGGCCTTCGACAGCACAGTTCATGGTGTTTTCGAACAACCTATTGCCAGGCAAGACTAACGAAAGATGTGTCTAGCCCTATACTCTTGCTCCTAACCAGGGTCCTGGTTGCTGGAAATCGGGGCAAGCAATCTTTCCAACTTTAAACATTTACTGTGTTTAGATGGCAGGAGCTGCTGAGGGTGATGTCATTCTTGTAGGATCTAATGCCAACGGCATGTGCTCATGAGAAAAATGCATATAGGCACATCCGGTTACCAAATAGCACCGTAGTGCAGTCAATGGCACGGGCTTGTACCGGAGGACGCTCTTCCACATATTCCCAACAGAACAGAAGCAAGTGTGTGAAACAAAATGATCAGATCTCATCACTTTCAACAAAGCACACATGAAGGAATGCTAGGTAATGTTATTCCCTGAAGTTTGACTGTCATTGCTCCTTGAAAGAGTATTACATATCCGTCCTTTGCTTACTGTTAATGGTGTACTTACCAAATAGGATTCCCTGTTCACTTGTTTATTTTTCACTTGAAATAAATTTACATATTTTTGTTGGCTCCTGCCATGAATTAGGGTGTGTTTCTGTAGCCCCCCCCCCCCCCCCCCAAACAGAGGAGGCCAGCTGCATGACAAGAAATTGAATAGGCCAACAGGCAACCTGCAATCCACTGGTTAGGGGAACATGAGCGACACTAAATAAGCTATGCTCCAGAGTAACAACACTTAGGTCATCTTATGGATTAAAATTATTGTATTTAAATTATTTGGAGCTTTACTTAGAATTTCAAGGACAGCTTTCCGTCGTCCAGAAATGTTGAAGCGGTTCATGGCAGAGCGGTCTCATTCAATCTTCTGGCGGTGCCACAAGACAATCGGGGAGTGGAGTCCCTAAAGGCGCATTCACACTTCCAAGTTCTGGTGGTCGCGCGACTGCTTTTTTGTCGCAAAAGCGAGCAGTTTCAACTCCAAACCAGTCGCTTTTGCGATCATCACCGTCTCTCGGTGACCAAAATGCAGTCACGCAACCACTGCGTCTTGCAAGTATGAACAGACCTTGAGCGTGGCCTCTAGTGAGAGTCATTGGGCTAACCATCTTTGCCAAGTTTTTTCTATGGACACCATACCAGCTTGGCTGTCAACCCAATGCCATTGCCGGCCACTGGCATCCTGCCGGTGCCACACTGTCAACTCGGCGGCCGACCGAAAGCCGCCCTCGGCCAATGGCGTTCTGCTGGTACCACAATCTCAGGTTGGTGACCAACCCAAAACCGCCCTCGGCCACTGGTGTTCTGCCGGTGCCAGGATCCCAGGTCGGTGGCCGACCCAAAGCCACCCTCGGCCACTGGCGTCCTGCCGGTGCCACGATATCATCTCGGTGGCCGACCCAAAGCCGCCATCGGCCATTGGGGTCCTGCTGGTGCCAGGATTTCAGGTAGGTGGCCGACCCAAATCCGCCCTCGGCCACTGGTGTTTTGCCAGTGCCACGATATCATCTCGGTGGCCGACCCAAATCCGCCCTCGGCCACTGGTGTTTTGCCAGTGCCATCGATATCATCTCGGTGGCCGACCCAAAACCGCCCTCGGCCACTGGTGTTTTGCCAGTGCCATCGATATCATCTCGGTGGCCGACCCAAATCCGCCCTCGGCCACTGGTGTTTTGCCAGTGCCATCGATATCATCTCGGTGGCCGACCCAAATCCGCCCTCGGCCACTGGTGTTCTGCCGGTGCCACGATATCATCTTGGTGGCCGACCCAAATCCACCCTCGGCCACTGGTGTTCCGCCGGTGCCACGATCTCAGGTTGGTGGCCGACCCAAATCCACCCTCGGCCACTGGTGTTCTGCCAATGCCACCATGCCAGCTCGGTGGCCGACCCAACACCGCCTTTGGCCCTTAGTCTACTGCCGGTGCCCGGCCATTGGTGCTCAGCCGATGCCCGAGCCGGGGGTGCTCGGCCATGGGGCCCGGCCCTCCCAAAGCCCGGGCAGGTGGGCCTTTCTTATGCCGAGGGACCATAACGAGGTCGGCACCGACCTCTTTGGCCGGGCAATGGCCGATGAAAAATGGCTCGGCCATGGGGATATGGCCATCCTTCGGCCGGGCTCCCCGTGCTACTTGGGGTGACTTCGGGTCCGCCCTCTTGAAGAGCTCTTGCATGACCCGAACGTACCGGACCAGACTTTCATCCGGGTGCTGCGTCCTTGCCTCGAGCTCTAGGAGAATCTGCGTCGCGTAGCCTGCAGGCAGGAACTCTTCTCGAAGCCTTGTCTGGAAGTCCGCCAGGCTGGTGAAGGGGGCCTGTGACCCCAACCAGCACCTGGCGCTGGCTTGTAACGCCAGCGGGACAATCCGGTCCACGATGAAGGCTTCTGAGGCACCGGAGGCAAGGTGGTACGTCTGCAGCTCGCCCAGGAAGTCTGCCACGGACTTGACGTCGTCGTACCCCATGTAGACCGGAACAGTCAAGTGTGGCCTGGGCTCTCGCGGTGGGGTCTCCTGCTGGCCAGGCGTGTGGGCCAGGCGCTGCATCACGGAGTCGCACATCTCCGTGACCTTCGTGAGCAGGTTCATTTGTGCTGCTGCGGCCATCGCGGCTTCCTGCTCCCGCGTGAGCATTCCTGCAAGCACAAAAAAAAAGAAACGCCCCCAAAAACCCAACACAAGCGCGCAAAACGATTGCCGCGGTCACAAAACAAGCAGTCAGAAACACGCCAATACAACAAACGTGGACGTGACGGAAGCACGAAACAACGATAGGAAACACGGGGAATATGAAAAAGGCTTACCGAAAGAAGAAACCAAGCCCCGTGAAATTCCTGCGAGTGGGTAGCATACCACGGTTGGGCGCCATTGTGGTCGGTTTGCCTTGCTGCATACCCGACCCGGAGGAATAACACGGAGCCAACGGTTTCAACAACAAGAAACTACATTTAATGGGACATGGACGAGACGATTAACATGGTTACCAGCGGCGCCTGAGTCCGGGCAGCGACTCCCCGTGCGCCGCCTCTGATCTGCCTTATCAAGGCGGCGCATCCGATGTGCGCGTGGCTGGCGTGACGTCGCCGCCACGCGGGAAAAGTTCGGCTTGAGCCTCGCAGTCGGGCAACTTGGCTTGGGAGCCGCCAGGGTGCCCACAGGGTCCACCCTATATCCTCCACTGTTCGAGCCTCTAATGCAACTCTTGCCATTAGTGGCGTGCGCTTATCTGTTCATTGGAGCTGTTAGAGTGCACATTTAGAGTGTGTTAAAATTACAGCCTTAGTGGGCAACATAATGTTCTTGATAGACTCAAGTGCTCCCCAAATTGCCACCAGCTCTACCGTTGTTGATGACGTCACAAAGTTGAGTCGTCCAGCAACATCAAAGTCCATTTCTGGAATTGTGATTGCAACTGTTGCTGTCTTCTTGGCCTTGTTGATGGATGCGTCTGTACGTACCTGAAGCCAGTCCTTGTAGTCGTCATTTGGGCGGTCTAGAGCAGCTTACTTTGCAACAGTTGTCAGTACATTTGCTTTTCGCTGTGAAAGAGGTGGACTTTCGCATATCACCAGTGGTGGACGTGTCGAATGCGAAGGCGAAGATGGAAGGAACTCTCCAGGTCCTCCAATCTGTCGATCGAATCGCACTATCAAATGCCCCAGGCCAGAGTTTCGTCTAGCCTGAAGGTCAGATCGGATGTTAAACTCATATGGTACGGCACTGGTGCGGCTAATGTTGCGCATGGCTCTCTCCTGCAGTCTTAGGGAAAGCGGCCATTCCTCGGAAGACACAAGTGTCGCAATATTTTCCGCCGAAGGGGGGAGCCCCAAGCAGCTTCGAAGAGCATTTCGGTGGAATATGTGAAGTTCTCTAATTTGGGCTCTTCGAATGGCTAAAAGAGGGAGCGAGTACAGGAACCTGAACATTATGAGACCCTTATAAAGTTGAAGATGAGCGCGTTGTGCAGCGCCCCAAGAGCATCCTCCAAGTTGTCGTATGGCTCGCAAGAGACGTCGGCATCGACCCAGTGTCCTACGAACTTCTGGCCTCCAAGTTACGCGGTCCTCCAAGACAACTCCGAGATAGGTGTGCTGCCTAACCCTTCTCAGTGGCATCCCAGCAAGTTTCAGCTGCAGTGCGTTTTGTGGTGCTTGACCTGCAGGCCGGCATAGAATTGAAGCTGTTTTTTCAGCTGAGAGGGTAAGGCCTAATCTCGATATCATTAGCGCCGTGGCATCGACGGCCACTTGAAGGCGATTGCGAAATGCGATCGCGTTCTTCGAGGGTCCGACGCACCAAATTAGAGTGCCCTGTTGGTAAGCAACCAGGGAGGGTAGCCATCGCTATGTTGAAAAGCATGGGGCTCAACACGCTGCCTTGAGGAACTCCTCGGTCTGTTGGACGTGGTGAACTGACAACTTCAGGCACTTTGACGCGGATGGTTCGTCCAGAAAGGAACTCCTTGATAGAGGAAAGAATCCGTCCACCAATTCCGAGTTGCTTCAGCCGGTGGACGATGGTGAAGTGAGGGAGAGTGTCAAATGCACGACTGATGTCTAAAAACACACTGTGTACCATCGTCCCTGTTGCTTTTGCCTCCTCGAGGGCTGACGCAATATCTCCAATGGCATCGCCGGTGCATCTTTTTACTCGAAAGCCTGCCAGTTCTGGTGAAAACGCTTTCATCCTATCCAATGACCAGGTGAGACGGCGAAGGACCATCCGTTCAAGTAGTTTGCCTATTCAACTTGTAAGTGACACTGGTCTTTAAGACGACGGCAGCGTGGCCCGTTTTCCTTGTTTGAGCATTGGGACGATAGTTGACTCCTTCTATGCGTCAGGAAAGATGCCGGTTGTCCATACGAGGTTTCGTTCTTGAAGAACATCAAGGTAATAGCAGGATCGACGTTTCGGACCTTCCGGTCCTGGAGCACTGTTTTTGTTACACTTATGAAGGGCTTCAGTGAGCTCCGCCAGAGTGAAATCAGATTGGCTCGCTAACTTTGCCTCGTTATTTTGATCTTCGGTGAGTGGAACTTGAGGTAGTCGTCCTAACTGTTCCCGGTCCTGTAACGGAGTGGATGACTGCCGCGATAATTCGTCCGCTAATATCTCTGCCACCACTGTCGTGGGCCAACCGGACCCGATTGCAAGAGCTGCAATAGGATGACGCGAAATTTTCGCGCCGGTGAGGGCTCGAGCGAGTCTCCAAGCACGTCTACCACCACCAGCACCGCCGAGCCATGCGCATCGGTGTCTCCATTGCCATCTTTGAAGTTTTTTTCGTATGTCGTCTAAATTTAGCGTCGATCCGGTTGTAGCGCGTCAAGTCCCATGGGGCGTCCGTGCGAAGTGTCCTTCGCTGTGCCTGTCTTCGGGCTGCGCGGAGATTTAGCCATTTCAAGTCATGTGCAGGGCATGTAACGGGCACCGTGACGGAGCGCGTGGCAAGTCGCAGGCACATCGCAGTACAAGATGTCAGATCTTTATAGTTGCCACTCTCAATGGCGGTAGCAACATGCTCACGAAATAAATCCCAGTTCGTCACCTTACAGGTTTTTAGGTTTTTGGGGCTTGTAGTTGGATGTGTCACTCTGATAGGCACGTAGTCACTTCCCTCTGTGTCGGGTCGAGCCGTCCATAACCCAAATATTTCAGAGGACACCAATGTCAGGTCGATAGTAGTGGGGCTGCAGCTCTTTCCTACAAAATGTGGAGGACCCGTCGTTTAGAGCTCGAAGTTCAATCTCTGCCATGGTAGCCTCTAGCTTTCGTCCTCTGGCGTCCGTTCGTCTACCACCCCAAGCCTCGTTGTGAGCATTAAAATCTCCGCAGATGATAAGCTGACCGCGGCTTCTCTTTTTAATCTCTTCCAGCACTTTTGTGTATAAGACTCCGTGTGGCGTGATGTAAGCTGAAACAATCGTTGTTTCGCATCCTTTTATTCTAACAATCACGCCGTAGTACACCTCCATGGCCGAATTCAAGTCCGAAAGGTGTATGGGGTTATGATATACATCATCACGTACAAGTATGGCCACTCGTGGCCTATCATTTGGATTTATGGGGGCACTGTGGTAGAACACATATGAAGAAAGGCGCTCTTCTCCAGGTACGAAATTCGTTTCTCGAAAAGCCAGGGCCTCAGCACGCTCAGTTTTCAAAGACTCGCGCATCCCTGGTAGGCGCGCTTGCAACCCATTTACTTTCCATTGAAGAATGGAAGGAAACACTGGACTGCGCCTTTGTTGACGAGTGCCATTCTTTTGGCGAGATATTGGAGCTCCTTCTTTCTTCAGGGTCTTCTGCCCACGGTGTCGCGCTTTTGCGTTACTTGGTCCCCCTAGCATGCCCCCAGAAGGGGAAGCATTGCCTGCAAAATTGTAGCAATTGCCCGGGCCCACGAGGCTTCAAATATTTAGACAATATTGCCAGGGATATGTTTGCAACTGTCTTGATAATGGAGACCAAGGCGGGTGTTGTTGCGATG